ACATACTTTAAAACTTTAGAATGTTACATACTACAAAACACTAAAGAACTTTATAACATATTCAAAACTTTACATCTTTTCAACAGAGTGCAAAACTTTATAATGTAACAACAGACTAGAAGACTTTACAACAACTTTTGTAAATTTAGTGCTCTAAATTTACATATAACACTCACTTTGCTAATGATGATTGTAAGTGTTATAGACAACATAAACATAAACATGACTATAAATGAAATAAGTGGATATAACAGTGTGTATGATGTGTCAGGAATGTACCATGTTATGAAGGGTCATTATACACATGGCCTTCATAGATTGTGTTCCTAGAATTATTTATAGCACAGCATAAGAGCTTTATGAGGCATTATTCAAGTGTATTATAATGATTTATGAATATGGGCTTCATAGAAATTGTTAAAGGATCTCATCCCTGTTTTCCGGTTGGATCGGTTTAGCATTCAGAGTGTTGCTGCGCTAAAACAATTTGCTCTCTGTTTCAGTCTCCGTCTCTGGTGTGTTCTAGCACACACCCGTGCATTTGTGTTTCAGAATGACTGACACTGTGCCTCAGCTTGATTGAAATCACTTAACCTCCAGGCCACAGACCCATCTCGAGTGGGAGTCAATAACTCGATGCCTGACGTGGGCCATTTTCCATGTCAGTGATGCACATAGGAATTCTGTCAGTCAAATGGAGCAACGCAGCGACTGACCTGAAGAAGACACACACGCTGTCAAGCAGGAAACCACAGGGAAATCCCTGCACAGCCTAGCAGTATGGAGCGATCGGAAAGAAATGCTTCGTTTATTTAACGAATAGATGCATTGGATTGGATAAATGACTTTCTGTTCAATATTACATCTTTTGTAGAACACGTAATGTTGAAAACACACAAACAACTCAATATAAATATAGAAAACTATACAATGGGGTCCAAAAGTCTGAGACCACATTAAAAATCTGGGATTTTTTTTTTTCATTTAAAACTGGAAATAAACAGAAGGTTTTAGAACTTTGAAATATTTCAAAACAAAGAAAGTAAATGTTCAATATCTTGAATATTTAATATTCAAGATTCTGCACTATTTCTATTGATATTGACCACATTAACTGCTTTGTACAAAAAGGTCCGATTTTCCTCATGTCTAATCTCTTCTATTGAAGTATCTGATCAGACGACACTCTGATAGATCTGATCTAAAATGGATCATAAGTTTTTGTACAAACTTGTGGAGTCCATGCGTGCTCGAGTGCTCACTGTCATTAAAGCAAAAAGGGGACGAACCAAATATTCAGAAATCCATGTAAATATTTCTCAGATTCTACTTTTCACTCAAGTTGTTGTCAGTAAAATCATTTGTAATGAAAATTATTGTATTATATTAGAAAAGAATGGAAAATAGAAGCATATTCACTAGTGCTCTCAGACTTTTGGATCCCACTCTATATAATTTGGAAATCATCCTTCATGCAGCTGAAACTTAGTTATACATGTGCAGTTATGGAATACTGTAATGTGGAATAATAAAACTGTAAAGAATTATTATTATTATGTTAGTTTTAAGAAACTATATTAGCAGTATGGCATAATAAAATAAGTTCTTGGACTGTGAAATACTAAAGTATGTGATATTTATAGTACAGTAATTATTTTTTTACAGTATTATCACAGTATTTACAGTAAATATTACAGTAAATGACTGTAAAGTCTGTTGGCAAACATACAAGACCCCAGGAATAATGAATATTTATTTTTCTATTCCTGCACTGTGTCCCAGTAGTCCTTGGAAGTGTGAAATATCTGTGTGACATCAGTGACCACTTCCAGTTCAAGGGTCAAAGTTTTCCCGAGGAGCACGCTCGACCTTGGCAGCAAGAACCCTGTAATTGAAACATTTTATCTCGTAGATTTACACCCTCAATTATCTATACAGGGTTATCTATAGATTTATAACTAGTTAGCAGGGTAAAGTGCTGAAGCTGTCAGGTCTGTATGGAGCAGCTCGAGCCATAAAACCCAGTTTGAAAATGAAATGAAATGAAAGTCACGAAATCTTCGGTGTTTTGTTTCTCTAGTTAATTGAGGAATAAAACATAATGTGGGCATGTTGCTATAGGAAAATAATCATCGACAGGGTGAAGTAATGAAGTGTTACTGTGACCACCCTGAATAGTTTTTATCCATTTATCATTATGTGGCCTTGACAAAGCCAACATACTCTTATTATTATTATTATTATTATTATTATTATTATTATTATTATTATTATGTTCTGTATATAAAAAAAAAAAAAACTTGGAGCATTGTCACAGGTTGAACCACTTGCTTCAGAGTTTGAAATCCCATACAGGAATAGGGCACTTGTCCTTTTGGGAACAATGGGAATGACGGTTGCTGCATGGGATATCACCTGGGATACCACAGCAACAGCCTCGCACCCAGCTGCGATACCATAGCAACAGCCTAGCAACCACCTGAAATACCATAGCAACCACCTAATGAAGAACCACTCGATGGTTTTTAAGCGTTTTAACCTTTAAACATGTTTTAACCTTTTAACATTTAAAAATAACATTTTCACATTTTAATGTTTTGAACATTTTAACCTTTTAACGGTTAAGATTATAGCCTTGTAGCTGCTCTGTCCAGCTAACAGCTAAAAGTTCATTTTGTGTTTGTGTTCGTTCTCATTTTTTGCTCTCCTTCATTCCACTTACTAAAGTCTCAATTATTGTCTATTTTGTTGTGTTCAAAAATTGTTCAAAAATTGTTCTGTTCTCTAAAGATATTTATCCTGGTGTGAATTTGCATTTAAGGGGAAGAGAATCTAAGGCAGGTTGAAACTTGACTGATGTTCAGGGTTCTGGAGCTGATGATCAGAAATCCACACTATGTGTGTTAAATTTTGTAATACTTTCCAACATCATGATTGTTCCCCACAGTGAGAGTTTTCTGCTCCTCCTTAGAGATAGTGTAAAGCAGAAATGGCTAGCACAGCTCATTAGGATTAATGAAGCCTGCATAAGCTAATAGTGTCTGGTCTTTTTATGGATCTTTTTTCACGCTCATCAATTTTAAACAAGCACTGAGACAACAGTATTACAGAGATGGCAGGGAGTCCCAGCCAATCAAATCCATTTCACAGCCTGGAATGTGCTCAGTTGTTCTGTCTTCAGCCTGTCGTCTGGCTCATGTTTGAGCTACGAAGAGACAGAACCAGATTTACAAACTCTGTGACAATGTACTTGAACCTTGCATCATAGAATTAGCATAACCACATCATAAATGTCCATAAATGATAGAACGTCATATTAGCATTGCTGAAAAACTCATCACATGCTGCTTGTTTGCTAATTGTTCTCCAGTTAGCATAATGTTAGATCAGTGTTATGACTTTATGAAAACTTTTATAACATGACATATTTTATATCATGCTAAAAAAAAAATACTCATTTCCAATTGGATGCCACGTGTCCATTATTGTCTAATGTAGATTCATTCGTTCTAAAAAAAAAAATTGCATCTAATAAACTGTGACCATGCTGGAATGTAACCATGCTGGAATGTAACCATGACAACAGGCATAAATAACAGTTTAAGCTATGATTTATTCATTCCTTAGCAAATACAACATAGAAGCTGTGATCTGGAACTTGGCAGGATTTCTGAGAATTTTGGGGGTTGACCTTTCTCCTTTTTCATAATTAACAAGCTATAACATGTCATTATTAAATGTCATCTTCCGTAATTACTCCCAACCTGTCTTCCCGAGGAAAAGGTTTCCATGTAGACGTTCTCGCTTCTGAGCGAAAGCCTTTTTCATTAAACTGAGCCACATCAAGGCCAGAGCAATGCTGTGAAGTGTGCTCAGCTACACACTGCTACACACTGTGACACACTGCTACACACTGTGACACACTGCTACACACTGCTGGCTTTGTGTTCTCCACCGCTGAACCTTTTTACTCCTAATACACATTTCTTTGAGGCTCGTCTGACCTGAAATACAAAAAAACTCAAAGTCTCACGACAAAATCACACTCTTTTTACAATTCTCTAATCTCTGGCTAAAAGTGAACATGCACACATACACACATATACACACACACACACACACAGACACACACAGTAATGTTTCACAAAAACACCAGAACAGCACTTTAGCATTGCTATCTGTCACGTTATGTTACCTCACATTTTTTATGTTCCTTAGTTTCTCCTTTCTTTTATTACAAGTTACACCACAGCGCTGTTAAATTCTAAATTCTGATTGGTCTGATTAATTTTCTGCAAGTTTCAAGTTTATATTTATGCACTCGTTTTAATACGTTCTGAAATAGTTTCAGTAGTAACAACATCGTGACAGCGGAATCTACACACAAACAGATTAAAAACGTGTACTCGTTGATATGGTGAAGGTTTCTGTAAGGAGATGTTTATTTAATATTTATGGAAGGAGTCTCCAGTGTCAGCGCTTTGTAACAGTCAGAGGTAAAGCTGTAACTTTACATTTTCTGATGTCTTCAGGACAGAGGAGTTTATGCTTTGGGGTTCACTGGTAACATAACAAGCTGCTTTTTTTAATATATGTATATATATATATATATATATATATATATATATATATATATATATATATATATATATATATATATATATATATATTAACTTATAATAGTTAATAATAAAAAAGAGAGAGAAAAAAGAGAGGCTGGTGAAGGAACGACTGTTTATAGCTGCTATAATGTAAGTGAGAACAGGAACTAACTTGTTTCCACAACATTGAATGTAACTATAAATCACACCACCCTGGTGTTGATTATTTTCTTATAATAGCATAATACAAAGTGTTTTATTCTTTATTTAATATTGTTCTCTAACTTGAGATAGTGACGTGTTAAATGTTATACAGTATTGTCTTTCAGTCAATAAGTTATCCAGAGAGCAGAAGTGAAAAGTACAAGGGCCTTGCTCCACAGCCCAGCAGTGACAGCATGGTGGTGCTGGGATTTAAACTCATGATCTTCCGATTAGTAATCCAATGCCTTAACTACTAAGCTACCACTTCCCTGTATGAAGAAAGATAAGAAAATTCTTTTGACGGTTATTTTTGATAACCGAGGAAAAGAAAACTCAGAATCCTCACTTCATCTCCTGCAGGAAAGTTCACATGCATCGAGGTGCGTTTTCACCTGGAGAGACAGATGGGTTATTATCTGATCCAGATGTACATCCCCAGTCTGCTCATCGTCATCCTCTCCTGGGTGTCCTTCTGGATCAACATGGATGCCGCTCCTGCTCGCGTGGCTCTGGGCATCACCACAGTGCTCACCATGACCACACAGAGCTCCGGCTCCAGAACCTCTCTGCCTAAGGTCAGATTACACCAGTAACTCTCTAATAACATTCTAATAACTCTCTAATAACACTCTAATAATGTTCTAATAACAGTCTAATAACACTCTAATAGCACTCTAATAACTCTCTAATAATGCTCTAATAACTCTCTAGTATCTCGCGAATAGCTTTCTAGTGACTCTCTAATAACACGCTAATAACTCTCTAATAACTCTCTAGTGACTCTCTAATAACACTCTAGTAACTATCTTTGTGACTCTCTAGTAACTCTTTAATAATACTCCAATAACTCTCTAGTGACTCTCTAATAACACTCTAATAATTATTTAATAACTCTCTAGTAACCCTCTAATAACACTCTAATAATTCTCTAGTAACTCTCTAATAACACGCTAATAACTTTATAATAACTCTCTACTAACTCTAATAACTCTTTAGTAACTCTAATAGCTCTCTAATAACTAGTCTCTAATAAGAGTTTTTCCCTGCACTGGTGTAGGATAAGTGGTTTAGACCTGCAGCTCTGAGGCATGGTCCTGAGAAGAAGATGATATGAAAACACTAAAATACAACAAAACTATTCAACTCATGACAAGGTTAGGAAAAGGTTAGGAAAAGGCAGTTTTGTATCAAGAACTGTAAATATCAAACTGTGTCTGTAGGGGAATTTATTTTTGCTTACATGGTTTGGCTCCACTTGCAAGCATCACTGCAAGCATCATACAAAGTTCTTCTGTCTGTCTGTCTGTCACTATCAGTCTCTCTGTGAACTTTCTGTCTGTTGGTCTATCTGTCCATCATTCCGTCTATCAGCCTACCTGTCGTTCTGCCTGTCTGTCTCTCTGTTAGATTGTCTGTTAGATTGTCTGTTGGACTGTGAGTGAAAATGTCTGTCTATCTATCTATCTGTCTGTCTATCTAATCACCATCATCTCACATTTACTTCTCTCTAAACTCTTATTATTCCCCTATTTATATTAAGATATATTATTCAGTAACTACAGTGAGACTAACAGGAAAAGTGAGGAGTAGGAGCTTAAGGGGTGAAAGATTATGGGGGCGGGGTTGAGATTGGGGGCGGGGTTAGAATTCATACCTCTTTGTATGATTCTATTCATATTCAGCCAAAGGAAATCTGTTCATATCACCCACATTCAGTCAAAACTGTCCTTAGGCATAATTTAAGGGAAACAATAATGAACCTCTTTAGAAAAAATACTAAATATTCTTATAAGATATAATTATAGTTATGAATATCATAAATTATTCTGCATGTTTGTGAAGAAATCTCATGGCTGCTTCGCTGGCTGTTATATACCATCATTCCACATTCCAACACACTCGATAAGCTCACGTTTACACCTCAGTGCATTATAGTGACCTAGTGTGTGTGTGTGTGTGTGTGTTTGATGCAGGTTTCCTACGTGAAGGCCATAGATATCTGGATGGCCGTGTGTTTACTCTTCGTGTTCTCGGCTCTGCTGGAGTACGCAGCGGTGAACTTTGTCTCGAGGCAGCACAAGGAGCTGCTGCGGTTCCATCGGAGGAGAAAGAAGTCAAGAAAGGTGAGAGAGCAGGGGATGGAGAGAACAACACTGACGAATCTGACAAAACTTTTGAAAAGAATGTAGAGAAAGTCTGCTGGTCAAGAAAAAACAGATAGACATGAACTATTTGAACATTTAATTCATTGATTAACAAATGTATTGTATCTTTCTTATTCTTATTCTTCTTCTTATTATTATTATTATGAAGAAGAAGAAGAAGAAGAAGAAGAAGAAGAAAAATAGTTAATTAATTAATCTCACTTTATGTAAAAAATATCTATAGAAAAACAACAATAATAATAATAATAATAAATGAAATATGTGTGGGTATGTGGGTGTGTGTGAGTGAGTGTGTGTGTAGTGTGTGTTTGGGGGTTTGTTTTATCTCATAATGTGAATTATAGTTGAATAGTACTATGTAGAATTATATTATATTATATTATATTATATTATATTATATTATATTATATTTTTATGAATTGTTCTTTTAATATGGACTGAAGGTCAAAAGGGTCAGAAGCTGTAAAATTGAGTGTGTGTGTGTGTGTGTGTGGTTGTGTGTGTGTGTATATATATATATATATATATATATATATATATATATATATATATATATTATAATAGATGTTTATATTATATGTTATATTGTTTTATGGACAATGAATCAACTCAGTTTTTATGTCTACAGATTAACTGCACACCATATTACTCAGGTCAAACACACACACACACACACACACACACACACACAGTTACGGTTTGGTGAAGTGCACGTGCTCCACAACACTGCCACCTGAAGGCCATGACCTGTAATGACAGCTGATGAAATCTGAGTTATGGAGCTTATTTCAGTACTAAAGCGTTCTGAAGGACACAGGGCTCAAATCCTCTTACCTCCTTCCTGTCACCTGCACTGCATTCATCTATACATGTTAAAATTTGTGCTCTTTATGATGAAAGATGATTCATTTTACAGTTAATACTAGAAAAAATGCACAGTGTTCCACTTATTTCTAAAGTAGTCGATCAGCCAAGACACAGGAGCTAGGACACTAATGTAGCTAATAAGTAAGTGAAACTTCTCCAGTCTCTAAAGACTGCAGTCTCTAAAGCATGTCTAATTCACTCATACTGTAGTTACACTTAGCATGTCGTTGATCTTTCGGTTCTGTCTTTAGGACCTTCATGGAATGAAAGTCATGCTGTACTACAGATATTACATCATCATCATTTGCATATCATTTGTTTATCAACCACCTACTGCCTTAAAAGCACTTTGCTTACTCTGGAAACTTTGTGTACTATTATAACTTAAGTACATTGCAGTTACTTCCTGGATTCTTCGTAGACAATTAGTTTCAGACAAAACTCCTACAGATGGTGTCTATGTGTTGAGGAGATAAGCGATGGAGCTGTGACTCAGTGTTTTAGCTCTGTAACATCCTGTTGCCCATTTTAATACATACCATACCATTTTATACATTATGTGGGCCAGTGTGAAACCACAAAAACAAATCTGCCTGAGACTGTGAACAGCTCCACAAAGCCGGGTAGACATGCAGGGCATGCACAATGCTAAACTGGTAGCTATAAGCTTCTATTGATTTGCAGCTTCATTAGCTTCATAGCTGCATTACAGCAAAGACACCAAACATGGGCTGGCTGAGCAACTTTTTCAACATCAACATTTGAGCTAAAGAGCGAAATTGTGCATAACTGTCTTTTTTTGTACAACCTTTTCAGTTAAGGAAAGAATAATCATAATATTGATTTTTCATCAAAAAATGAACTTACACAACTGTTGTTTAGTGAGTATTTTGAGTCAGCATGCATGCTATGCAGTTTCACCATCACTCTGTGGTCAGAGAGTTAATCATGCTTCCTGTTCACACACACTCTGGTTTTATTTTCATCTTTCTTCCTTATTTGATGCAGGCAAAGTCTGTTTCATTTCTTATCTCCTGCATGCTGAAAATCATCCTGTATTGTTTTGCTTGCTGTTTTTTGTCTTTTGTCTTTTTTTTTGTCTCTCCCTCTTCACTCCTGCGCCATGAAAGTTGTACAGTCACACATCCGATGAGGAAATCCCAGATTCTTTCCATCACATGAACAGTTTAACGAGTTCCGAGTGCATGTATGCATCCCCAGGTTGCACCTCGGATCTCATGGACGGGGTAAACACCGCGGCTGTGCTGTGACTCCCACCCTGACCCGATCCATCATTTACGAGCGTGTCCATGTTTCCCAGCATCCCACATCGCTTATCCACGTTCTCTGAAAACTACACTGGTGCACGGTAGCTCATCAAGTTGCCATTTGAAGTCTGTTTCCGTGGATTTTAGCTATGACTGGGAAATGTTTTAAATCCATTAGGTCTGAAAAACAAACACACATCTTTACTAGGTCTGGTTGATATGATAATATATAAAACACTATGTGTTGTGCTGTTATAGGAAAATAATCAATGACAGGGTGTTGTAATGAAGTGGAGTTGATCATCTTCCAAGAACAAGTATGTTATTTTTGTTCTAGGAAAATAATCAACTTCACTTTTTTTTATATTATCATATCACCCAGTCCTAGTAAAGATGTGTATTTGTTTTTTCAGACCTACTGGATTGAAAACATTTCCCAGTTATAGCTAAAATCCCCTGAAACAGACTTTCTTCTTAAAACGGCAACTTGATGAGCTAACATGGACCATTTGCCAATGATTACAACTTTTATTTACTAAAGTATGACAGGTCATGCTTTTTATCCATTTATAGTTATGTGTAATGTTATGCTCAAAAAAAAAACCCCACACACACACAGCTTGTTAGAGAGAAACTGGAAACTCCTCTTTCTTGAACATGTCAGAAACCTTAAAGTTACAGCTTCACCTCTGACTGGTACAAAGCACTGACACTGGAGACTCCTTCCATAAATGGTAAATAAACGTCTCCTCACAGAAATATAAAGGATTACACACGTTTTAGTCTCTGTGTAAATTAAACCTCAATGCACTAGTGAAACATGTGCAACGCAAAACACTTTTCTCTTAAACAGTAATTCTGTAAAAGTCTTTGAACATCAAAAGAACGAAGATGCAAACCAGCGACGCTACAACACATCTGTCCCACGGTGTTAACCAGTGGCATTTCTAATGTTAGTACATTTTCATA